GCTTCTTCCCTCACGTTTTCATGTACAAAATATTATATCACATATTCTTATTGTGCCCAATGGTACAGATTGTATATTTCTTGTTAAAATAAAAATAAAAATAAATATATATACAATATATGTATATTTATAGCTATAATAGGTAATAGGTATACATATATATATTACTAACAGATTCTTTGCATTTCGTTACCCGTTAAAAATGCCAACTCTATATGAGACTCGCTTGTGATAATGCGATCAGTAAATTGTCATGTACTAGCAATAGGCGCATACTATATATGAATAATATGTTTTATTCTGATTGTGTACACGCCGATGAGAGGCGATAAGCGCAACTAAGTCACTTTGGTAGACTATGCACAAAAAAAATATAGAGACATTCTTTTCAGTTTCTACAGATACTGAAAAAAACGTGCACATCGTTTTAAAACCAATAAGACATTAATCACCCCGCTTTAAGTTTAGATTTAAAATATCTGTATGAGAGTAAATGTTTTTATTTATTTATTCGTTTTATTTTTCAACAATAATTTTTATTATTATTATTATCTGCAGTAAAAAGATTCTGGCCAAACAAAATAATAATGGCAACTTATTTTCAAATATTTATTTGTACATAAACGTGTACTATTAACTACATATAATATCATTTATCTATCGTTTCTCAAGTATCTAGTCGTCTCTGTTACGAATCGCGGACGTTTCGTTCGTCCCCGTCAAAAAACTAGTCCACGGACGTTTCGTTCCTGCCTATCATTAAGATAGGACATTCAGCCCCCGAGAGTTATATAGATTTATTTATACCTTCCCATAGGACGTTTGGCCAGTTAGGTTAGGTTATTGTGTTCTAAATTAATTATCCCAAAAAAATAATATAAGTAAAGTAACAAGTTAACAATTTGATTACTTTTATGACATTATTGATAGATATTTATCAAAGGTATTCTTATCGATGGATGGTATTGCTCGACTATTATTTATTTGTCAGACAATTGAAAAATGTTGGAAACTTTTTCTATTTATATTGTAAAGACTAAATAATATTTTATACCTGCCCTGTATACTATATTTGTACATTAGTCTAGAGGTCGGATTTTTATGATTTTACATATTTGTTTCTATGTTTTGAAACAAATGCGGGTAAGTAGATGGAGCTCTGCTGTTCAGTTTAGATTACAAGTGGAATATTACACTATTACACCATAAAGTATGGTGTTAAATTTGAATTTAATTGTATAAAATCGTTGCACACGAAAAACGATTCTGAGGCTTTGATATTACTTAGAAAATTTCATGATATTATAATACAATCAATATACAATAAATTCTCTGCTGTACGGTACGGTCAAATTTGTGTGCCCTTTCCTGAACACGTACATTCGTATCTATATGGTTTTATCGTATATTATATTATGTTAGTTTCTATAAGCTGCTTGCTGTGACTACAATGAATACGCACGTATGGATGGGTCAAAGGTACTTAAATGGCGACCCACTGTCGGGCGTCGGCAAGTCGGTGCCTGTAACAATAAGGGTAGAAAATACTTATAGGTATTGTTATCAATGTATAAAGCGGATATGGTATTGTATTTTGGGTAGAGTTTCTTTAATGCATTATATTATAATAATATTGTATTTTATGGTTACCGCTCTCTTCTCGGGATATTTTCCAAGAAAATGGTTTAGACCTGTCTTTGGAATAATATATATATATGGCAGGTGGAATTTCTTCAATACATTATAATATAATATTGTATTTTATAAGTCTCTCTTCTCGGTATATTTTCTATGGTTTATATGTATAATAGCATTCTGAGAACTGGACATTCGGCATAATATAATATACAAAATCCGAAACCTTATAGTTTAGCTCAGACACCCTGCTGGCGATCGCCCGTGTCGATACACAGCATATGTTATGCCATCTAAAAGACATTTTATAAGTACATACCCGTGTTAAATCTATAAATGTATAATATACTTCAAGTGTATTTGGTGGTCCAACCCAAGGTCCTCGCATCATTTTTTTTTTGGCCCTTTATAGAATACTTACATTTAACATTTTCGAGAAAGTCGGTCTTATCGCTTCCTAATAATAATAACTGCGAGTGTTCCTGAATAGTGAAAGGCGTCAATACTGTTCACAATATCAAGACATTTCTATTCCTCTATTTAAAATAAAATATAAATAATAGTATCATTTTTTTTATGTTGGCAGCAGGCGGCTCAGGTGATTTTACAAAAATGTAAATTGGCCCTCCAACTACAAACGGTTGGACCCCCTACTATGGTTATCGGTCAAAAAGCCCGGGGACAATAAGTCCATTTTGAAATAAGTTGAACAAAAAGTACGGATGAGTTATTTACTTACATACGTACCTTTTTTTTTACCGTGTAAGAACTTATACTTGTACCTGTTTTTTACTGAGTAGGAACTTACATAGTTACATAATGTACCTTATTCTATCGTGTAGGAACTAACATAGGTATTTATTTTGTTTACCTGTTAGGTCTTGTGTAGGAACTTACACCTAACCCATCGCCCCCCCCCCCCTCAAATACGCCAATGCGTGGTCGCGGCTGTTGAGGTGGTAGTGCAGCAATGTGCGAGGCGGTGGACATCACGCCGGCAAGGGGATCTGAGATAAGGAACAGATTAGGGGATTTGATCGGTTGGCTGAACCCGGGGGGCAAAACCAACTCGCACGAACACCATATTGTGTCTACGTAAAAGTATAGGTACTGCGCCAATTCACAAGGGTCTGACGATCGAATCCGCATCACAAGCTGTCAATTAAGTTGATGATGATTGATGACGATATAAAGAAATAGAAAATTAAAAATACTTATTCAGGGAATGACCAACAAATAGAATAAAAAAGTTCATTAACAGCTCAATACGAGTCAAAATATTTCGAAAAACTATTAAAAAAGAGTATAGGAAATGATAAAATAAACATTTTGTGTAAATTTCAAGTATCTATGGTTATTCGTTTCTTGAATTACATCAAAATTACAAAAATCGTTTTTCCCGATTTAAATATTTACTTTCGTCAAAATTTGAACTTAAAATATATATATAGAAAACGCGGGTAAATGGATGTCGGTCTACTACACATTAGAATATGTCTAAGAGGTCGCTGTAATGGATATAATCAAATCTGAATTCACTGATATCAAATCATTGTATACGAAAAACGATTCTGAGCAGAGACGGTACTTCAGTTTAGGATATTTTATATTGTTATTACTTATTATTAATATGGTAGCTAAGTTGAGTTAATATTATTCTTAAATTATCAGTGATGGAAAAAAAAATACATTTTCCTATGTAAAACTGGGCTGTTTTGGAACCGAATCACAACAAACTGATAACCATTATTCTTTGTGTTAATATGCAATTTTGTCTACATTTGAACTTAAAATGTCTGTAAAAAATAACTGTATTCATAAATTTTATATATTTATAAGGTTTGGAAAAAACTGCTTAAGTGGAACTTTGTTTCAAATTTTCAATCCTTCGCTATAAAAATTGAACATCTTATACATTTTTAACTGCAAAATCATTTACAATTGTCAACATTTGAACTTTAAATGCTTATAAAAAAAATCGTGCCTATATATTAATAATATTTTTCAACTAATATTGTAACAAATTATCAAGAGTCTTGTATTAAATTTCCATGCTCTTTGACCCAACAAATACAATTTTATTGATATTTATAGAAAAAAAAATGAAAAAAAAGGAAAATGGAAATGTCCGTCAGCCTAACACGAGTCAAAATATTTTGATTTTGAAATTTTATCAAGTATATGAATTGATGAAATAAACATTTGGTGTAAATTTCAAGTGTCTACAGTAATTCTTTTTTGAAAAGAAATTGATTCGTAAACTAAAAACTAGTGCGTAAAATAAGTCCATGTGAAACGGACCTTAAAGTCTACAACTTATGATATTTTACATTTTGAATTTGAATTAGTGAGTATCTTAATTAAAATACCGAATTTAAACAGGAGCTGATTAACTTGTCTTCTACAGTATTGATTATGAGTGTTTTTACTCTCAAACTGCTCAAGAGACCATATAATTGGAAATACAACAATTTAATTATCATAGAATTTTTCAATAAGTACTATTCATACCCTTTAATCGCAACAATATCATACGATATACTTAGTAATTTACTAATTTTACTTACTAAAAACAGTCTTCGTTCACAATCGTTATTCGTATTTCGTATACAATGATATTATTGAATTCAAATTTAACACATCTATTACAGACTTACGGTGACTCTCTAGCCTCTAGACACTAAATGTTCGACAGAGCGTTACCCGCAGAGCCGCTTTTTAAAATTAAATCAATAATACATTTTTTTTTTAAGTAACTCACGTTAAATTAATAAATTAATAAAACTTATCTTTCAGCAAAACTCAATATCAACTGTTATGATGGTTTAAAAATCCGAAAATCATTGTGAATTTGTAAATTGTTAGGATTAAAATATTTTGAAAATTGTATAGGTAATATACTTTATTTGATTTAAGTTAATTTATTGATAGTAATTTGGCACCCAATTTATATAACTTAACTTATATTTTTCTCACGTGGCTACATTGGTTCTCAGTGGAATCCAATGTACTGAAATGTTCCGTTCTTATATTCTATAATTATTCTAATATTATAGCTATATTTCTCCATTTGAATTTGTCGTTAAGTCTACATAAAATCGACTTTCCCACATTTTTGATATTATCCCCCAAATTCCTAAAAATGTCATATTAAAAAAGAGCATTTAAAAATTTCAATTTTTGGAGAAGTTAAAATCAAAAAATCATAAATGTGGGAAAGTCGATTTCAAGTAGACTTGACGACAAATTCAAATCTGTTTTTAGAATTCTTATCGCTTCATTAGATCAATTGGTATATTTGGCAAAAAACACGTCTAAATTACTATGTCACGCATGTGTTAGACAAAAACAGAAAATGACGGTATCGAATCCCCTTAAATAAGTATCTAGCTAGTTCTAGCCTTCGAGGCATTTTGTTCCATCTATAAGTTATAAGCACAAAATATCATAAGTATTCTCAAAACATTGTACGGTCATTATAAGTGATTATCTTATTTTATTTTGTTGTAATAGTACATACTTTTAAATCAAAAATAGAATGAAAAAAAATAGAATATTGGTGCAATTCTATTTTAAACTTCACGAGTCGCTATGTTGATAAAATGTTATTTACAGTCTTTAACAAGAGATAGTAATAAATAATATTGCACTGTGTTGGGAGGTTCTTGTTAATTAGTTGAAACTTCTTATTAGTCTTTCGCCGTCTTTAAATTTGTTGATGATTGGTAAATGATTACTGCCAGTTTGGATTAAGTGCTTTGGTGAAACCTAACCGATTTGACGCGAGATTTTCGTTCACCACAATTGTAAACAGTAGACACATCTTACATCCGTGGTCGGTGGTTACTAATTCGCATTATGATGAACGTAGAAACTTGTAACAATTGTTAATAAGGATTAAGAAATTCGGTAAACCGGGATCAGCTCAAGATGAAACTCTACCTGGATGAAACGTGTCGAGTGAACTTCCCAGGCGATGCCATTAACGGTATACTCTGCGTACGAGATTGCCTTGATTTCAGTCGTAAGTACCATTTTTTGAATTTTTTTTTGAAACTCTGATGTTTTCATTGAAACTTTGCGGACAGTTGAGCCAAAGATAAAGGTCACTGGATTCACGTGTATATGGAAAGTGGGTGTCGCAAACACTGTGGGGACCACTGGTGAAACCGAAGAATACTCGGTGTTCTTTAATGGGATGGCAGTGCTACGTAAAGAAGATGACACACTTGTGGATAATCCGTCACTGATCAACGAATTAGAAGGTTACTGATATTGCAATAATATTATTGTCTGTGAATAATTGTCTCATTTATTTCATTAACCTAGGTTATTCCAAAATATTTAAGTTCCACATTGTCTTGCCGAACAATTTGCCACCATCACATGAAGTCCCATTTGGTCACACAAGGTATAAACTAGAAGCTCAATATAACGGCTTAACAACTTTGGACTATTTTAGTGTGAACCAATGGGTTAGTTTAAAAAAACGTAATGATGCTACCGTAAGTAATATACTTAATTGTTTTCATAAATAATTCTATTGTATAATTGCTCACACTTTACATAGGTTAAACGTGCAACATTCTCTGTGCCATTCTACGCGTTTTGTCAATCAATTGAAATGATATTAAATTTAAACCAGTCATATTATTTACCAGGTGAAACTGTTCATGTAATAGCTATGATACAAAACAATTCCAGGACTGATATAATTTTCTCTAAAATACTCATTGTTCAGGTGAGTTGTATTTTTTAAATAATATTTGTTTACTTTACTTTGGTACTTATTTGAACTAAAACCATAGACATTATACATTTATACTAGTAGACGGAACATAACTGTGGTTTCAGCGGTTTTTAGTGAGTTTACTGATCTTGGTGTGCAACATATATCTACAATATCTCTACCTCTAGACTACACCATCCTCTCAGGCCCTGTATAGATGCTATGTCTATTAGTATAATGTCTATGACTGAAACAATGAAAAAAGATGTTTTGATTTTAAAAAAAAAGACCATTTCACTTCAATTTGGTTTATGTTACATTGTTTGTATAAAACATAATTTGTTCGATAATTATGTACCTATTGTAAAATGTGTTTAAAACAAAAATTAAAATGATAAAAAGTAAAATTTGTCATTTTAAACATTTGTTATTAAGGATTTTAATATAATATCAAAATATGTGACTTTAAGTAATAATTTCTTGTGATTAGATGTATTTTGGTTATTTGCAGTATACATTTATTAAAATTATTTTTATACCATTCTTTTATTATATTTGCTATACATACCATAGATTACAAAGTACTGGAAGACTCATCATTTATTATCAATGAAACATGTCAGAGTAATTTCAGAAGGAATACGAGGATATATATCTAGTGGAAATAAACAAATATGGGATAGTCACCCTTTTAATTTACCAGCAATTATTCCGACTACGAATACATCCGACAATCCTTTTAACTATTTTGAAGTCAAGTATAAAATTAAGGTTATTGTTATTAATAATCATTGATAGTTTTCTAATTTATGTTTGTTAATTACATTTAAGTTCTATTCTTTTACGTTTTGGTCTGAGCTGGTAAATATCATTGAAAATATTTTTTTTTTTACACTTAAAATCTTATATAAATATACAATAGTGCATTTGTTCATGGTTTAAATCATTTAATTTTGCTTAGTGTTGGCTAATTTTAATATGATAAATATGTAAGTTCTCTACACAAAGAAACTATGATGTTCCATAAAATATTTCAATGGTTTATTTTCTCATGAAAATTTGTGAATTCAAAAACTTCTTTTTTCGCAATTTCTGATGGTCATAGGTACCCTTGAAGATTATATAGATGCTATTCAAATATGGATATTTATGAAAATAAATACATTTATACATAAATAATATGCTTGTTTTTTTCATCAGTATTCTATATATTTTAACTGATTAGTTTAAGTTATTTCATATACTTTTTATTCAAAAAGATATTTTCAATATGTCAACTAAAACAATAGGTAAATTTAGTACATGGTGAATAATTAAGTTTCACATGGACAATTTGTGGAGGAAGCTGATCACTAACAGCACCTCAGAATTTAAAATTATTAACACTTTTTTTTTTATCTTTATTATTGTTTATGCCCTTTTTTTAATTAAAATTTGGAGCAAATCTCTGGTCCAGTTGCGTTTGAGACGACATTGAATGTTTCTAGAGAGAGAAATGGTGTACACAATCATATATTTATTTTATCAAAAAATACTTATAGATTACATATTATCCATATTTTCATGTGGATGTATGCTTGAATGAGAGTAAACTAAAAGAATAAACTTTTTTAAAACTTAGTACCTCTATCTGCTATAAATTTATACTTATGAAATACTTGTTTTCAGATGCTTATTAAATTGAAAAACTCAAATAAGAAAATAGTGTTGAAACAAAATCTATTTATTGGTAATTGGGATAAAAGTATCGCTACCAACGGGAAACGGTTTATAGATATACTGCAAAGTAATTGCTCGACTTATGGTAAGTGATACCTGATAATGGTTGAAGTCCAATTACTTTTTAATACTGCTATAAAAGTATAAATATTTTAGATTCACAAATCCTCAAATTATGTCTACTTAAAAGCTATAAGATTATAATTTAACAGAAGTTTAAAGGTTATTTGTTTTATTATTTGTGTTTAAACTATCAATATATAGTGATCTTAAATCAAGTAAAATATTTGTAGCATATCATCAACTTCTCCAGTTTATAATAATTACTTCTACCACTATGACCATAATTTATTTTTTTCAGAGGTCGGAGTTAAAGATTGTTCTCTTATTAAAGCGGAAAACAATGACATAGATTTTGTACCAAAGTATATGATTTATGAGAAAAGACAAGAATAAGATAAAGTAAATTTGTTAAATATATTGTATATTATTTATAATAGAAGGACACTATTATGTCAACGCAAATTTTTACATTAATATTGTTATAGAAAAATAAATAAAGATTACTTTTTTCTCTCGTATTTCCATTTATAAATTGGTGCTGCATCTTTTGTTGCGGGTTTTATCTTCTTTGGCTGTTCTTGCTTAGAACCGAGCAAATGAGATTTAATTTCTAATTTCCTCTGTACAACAGATAATTCTTTTTCCCTATTAGTTCTTCGTTCTAGTTCTCTATATGATTTTCTCTTTTCGGATAACATTTGCTTAATAGTCTCTTCGTCTAAATCTGGCAGTTCGATTTTTTCCAAATCTGACATTCTCATACGATTAGTTTTCCTATCAATAAGATCTGGATGCGTGTCGATATTTTCAGCTAAATTGCCAAGACACTGGTCATCATCATTGAAATGTATATGACTGTTATTCGTTTGATTAGCTTGATCTAAGAAATGCAATTGAGATTGTAAACGCTCAATTTTTTTCCTCTCCATAGTAGCACGCATATTGATGTATTTCAAATCTCTAGTTTGCATTAGCTTAATTTGATCTTCAGTGTGTTCATCTTCTTCTCGTATTTCTGTATGACGTCCATCTTCGACTTTCGAATTTGTCATATGGAAATAAAACTCGTCTGGATTACGGTTCTGTGCTCGTTTCTTCAATAATTTCATTACACGTTCACGTTCCTGGTGGTGTCTAGCACGGACTTTGTAATCTTTTTTCTTCTCGAGCAACCCATATTTTTGACGAGCATCGGGCTGGTGACGTTCCCTATGAGTTTTCTGATTAACTTTTGAAGCTTTAATCCACGACGACATTTTCAAACTAAACAAATTTTAAAAAAATGTATATTATTCTATTCGTTTAAATATGTCCACTTCATACTTACCCAATTAATGCGTATTTTTAAATGTAGACAGCCGTACTAGTACTTAACAGTTAGCAATAAACAAATAATTATTTATTAGTAATAAGCACAGATATCGAAGAATAATTCTATGATAATATCTAGTATTTACGACAATAAGTTGTGATAATTCTGTTATCCGAACATCCAATTGTAAATAAGCAAGCACGTGGGTTATAGCAGTGCTGCCCTTGAATAAACCTGAAATATTTGGAGTACAATAAATACACAGTTTTACGGTATTTTATTCATAGACCTTACATCCATAATATTGTGATTAGAGCCCGGAATTAAATTATGCACTTAAAAATTGTCAAATGTGCGTACAAAAAGTGGTTATATATGCAATTATATGCATTATTGTATGCTTTATAAAATATGTTTAAAAAAATTAAAACACCATTTTTTTACTGAGAACTGTAATAATAATAAACTGATAAACTGGTACTAAACTTTTTATTAGAAACCAAATACTCAAATAATTAAAATAGTAAATTAACTGTAAATGGCGGTCAATACCTATTGGAAAATCATTTAATATAGAAAATTACACAAAAAAGACTCAGTAAACCTTACAATAAACTTCCAAACTAATAGAACTGAAATCACTTGCCATGAAAAAACAATTTGAACATAAACAATCTTAACTTTTAGACTTGTCATTATAATATTTAAAATAAAAATAGAAAACAACTTTTAAATATAATAAAACATGAAAAACAATGTTTTATAAATTACAAAATTAAAAAAACTAAAATCTACGGTTTATGTTGCATATTATTTTAAATAATGTGTCTTGAACTCTTGGGAAGCATGACAAATTGACAGTCAAAATTAAAAAACCCACCTATCTTGTCAAATATAACAAAATTCTAACAAAATTCTGAGAAACAATGTCAACCACTTTTTCTACAGTGAAATTGATTTATCATTAAGCACACATTAAATTTGCATGTTGTATACTTTTATGACTTAATGTACAATAATCCTCCTCATATGTAAAATCAAATTTGGTATTTGAATTCAGTGTGATATGAACCTTAGACATTTAAAACCCCCATCGACATGCTTACACTTTGTACACACATGCAAATGCATATAATTCCGTGCTCTAATTATGATACATATTTATTATCCAATATCCATATTATTGACATACTAATATATACTAGGTATAAATAATAAAAGATATGTTCAAATATTACACTATATTTAATAATACTTTTACCTATGTAAAAATATGGTGATTGAAGCCGGTAGCCACATTGGTGCCAACATTTTAAAAATCATTAGGCGCTCTTGGTGAAGAGCACCTTCCTCCCTACAGTTCTAAAATAGCGAGTAAAGGTTTCAACCATCCATTTCTTAATAATAGTAATATGGCCACTCATGAGAAAATATGCGGTAGTGTATTTGGCCACTTATGTTTGCAGCACCGTCGTAACTCATAACACTAAAAGACAGCCTGCTTAATGTTATTGATAGTTTAAATTTAATTAGAACATCAGAAATTAAGGCAAACCTTAAACAGTCAGAGAATTGGGTAATCCTCAATCAAAAAACAGTTCAGAATCTTCAGATACATCTAAATTATCATTGACAATGCAAACACAGAGTTACTGGTATTTGCTACATTTCTATACTTGAATCTAACTTACGTAGCTCATCTTTAATACTATCCATTGATAATAAATAATAAATATTAAATGAAAAACTTTTTCTAATTAATTAATTTTTTTAAGATTTTACTTCTTAACTTCACTTGAGCATCCTGGCCCCTGCATACTTGGTACCTATGCCTGTGGATTTTTAATTTAAAAAACTGATCTAGACTGTGATCAAGACAATTATTAACAAAATTCTTTGTAAAATGTAGGTTTTACTAAAAACAATTTCAAGTAAACACTAATCATTATCCAAAATGTAATATTAAGATACATTTCTAAAAATTTTCCAAGAGGTAAAAGAAATATTAATCAGTTATTTCAATCACTCAACTCCTTTTGATAGAACAAAAGAATTTAGAACAACCATAATTAAAATAAATTACATTTATATTTTGTCTTGTCAACAATGTAATTCTAATGAAATTATCAACATTTTCAATAGAGCCCATCAGATCATTTTGTTTTTTTTTTTTTTGTATAAATTAAAACTCTTTAAAAATAGCTTTGTTTAATAAATAAATAAACTTATGTTACAGAATTGATGTATATAAATAAATAAAATTGAATTTTAGAAGAACTTTTATTTTTATTACAATTTCCATGTTCATTTAACATTTTAATCAGTTAATATACATATTTAAAACCTAGTAAAAATGTATTTTTCATTTTTAATAAATAATAAATGCATTATTATTGATAGAATTGAAATAGGCAATGCCTAGGCATAGTAGTTAGTGATATAAAAAAAAAAATTAATGAGTAACTTATTATATTTCAGACTTGAACATTTAGATAAGCTAAAAATGTACACGTTAAATTTAATATTAATAGTTAAACATATTATGTCTGTTCATGACTTGTTGAATGTTTCAATAAAAATGTTAACATGAAATATTATTCACCGGGCATTTCACCACCAGGAACCAACTAAAAACAAACAATAAATATTTAATTAATATTTGTATCATCATAATTTATAGTAAAAATAACATCAGACTCAATATTAAAAAAAAATTACCATTGTTATGTTATTTCCATTTAACAATATTTGATCCAATTTAGTGACTCGCCTTCCTTCGGGCGTTGATTCATATTCTGTTACATCTTCAAGCAACATATTGACAAAATCATCAAACCCCAATAAAGTACCGACTATTTCCTTATCATTTTTCATAACGATGTGAATTCTAGAGCCAATACATTTGTCTACAAGTTCTGAAATGTATCAAATGTATAAATATTTGTTTCTACGATTGGGTAATGTTCATTTTGTTGTCAAAAAATAAATAAATAAATAAACACACACTATGACAAAAAGTACAAACCATTGAAATAGACTTTTGACTAAACTATGGTAAAAAGTACCTATATAATAGCATAACATAATGGGTCACTTACCAAGTGGAAGTAAAGTCGAAGGGTTAGTCGCAACGGAAGTGGCCATGGTAATGGGCTATCTAAGGTTTTATTTTGATATCAGTTTTCAACGATATAAATACTGAGTACCTAAATAATAATATTAAATATCAATGACGAATACTGACGAATTACGATTGACGAGTAAAAACTAAAAAGCAATAAACAATCATAGCACACGAGTCGGCAACCGCCAGTTTAAGATGTCAGCGAACTTGTGATGACTGAAGTAAGGTTGATAGTAGATATCTTGTCACTTCTGATAAGGCGATAACTGAAATACTGCATATTCTATTGCTTATGCATATCTTTAAAGGGGTATAATAAATATATTATTTATTTTTCTGAGTTTCTGACATATTGAAGATACATAATAATTATTATTACTGAGATGATAGTTGTATCTATTAGGCACAACGTAGAGAGTACATATTCTCTACACCACGCTATTAGTATACTAATAGATTCTTTACCTCCGCCATTTTAATAATTATTAACTGTTTTGTCACTTGTAAAGACAAAAAATAGTATGTACTGTGTTTTTAGAGGTTTTGACGGTGTGTTAAGACTTAAGAGTATTTTTAAAAAGCCGTGGCTGTGGCGATTTTAATTTAAGGGGCCTCGCCATGCCTATGGCATTTATTTAAGGGACAACAGTTAAGCAATTTATAATCTTGTCGTTACCACTATAAGGATTTATGTGTTACTCCCATGAATTAAGATATACTTAGCTGTAAATTATTATTATTATTATTATTATTAAAGTGCGAATACCGACCACGATTTAAGGTAACAGTACTCCAAGTATTTTGTATTTACCTATTTAAAATTATTTAAAGCATGATAATACATTGGGTTAAAAACAGTGTTAAATAATATCAATAATTCTGTTATTCATAGGACAATTGGTAATTTGGAATATTTATAATATAATATTATTGTATGTTTATTGTAAGAAATTGGTAAGCGCTTTTTCCCCCTTAGTTTCACGTAAGAACATAATCTAAGGGTTGCATGTAATGTCTCCTCCAGTTTTTTAGTGTAAGTTCAGCTGGGAAAAAAAATCAGGTAAAATTGATTTTATGTAAACTCCGTACGTGAACAAAATCAAGTATGGAATATAAATAAAAATATATTATGATTAAAAATAATGATTATCTTCCTCAATAATAGTTAGGTATGCGTATGTATGCCAAAAAAAATGTACAGAACTTAAAAATAAAAATAATAATTCGTTCGAACAAATCGTCTAAATTGCTATGTGTATTATGTCAAAAATCATAATAAATAATTGAAATAATCATAAAATACATGGCCATGAAGGTATTACAGGTATGAGTGTATTATGTTACAATATTTTGAAATTTGAACTGTGGACTAAAACTATGTGATACAATTAGTAGACAGTTTAACCTCCGAGCCTTATATAAATTGGTATAGCTATTTATAGCGTTTATATCATTATGCAATTAAAGGTTAAGAAGTATTATTAAATCTTACAAAAGCAAGGCTGGAGTTTCCATATACCCATTATAGGTATGAAAATAAAACTGGTGGAGTTTACAATCGCCACGGGTATATCATGAATCATGATTAAATAAAAATTCTATTTTATTATGTCAAAGTAACTCCGATACGAGTCGGTAGTCGGTACGTACGTAACTATTCCGCATCGGTACGTATCGAATTTTTATTCTTAAAAACTTTGATTGCGTTTAGAACCAAGCTTAGATAGTTATCGATCATATACATGGATATTAGAGAATGTAATTCTGTAATTTTCTAATGTCCATGATCATAATACTTATACTACAATACTACCTAGTATATGATCTAATTGACCATAGAACAATATTTTAATTTCTACATTTCAAGCATATTATTGTTGTTCTGTGATATAAGATAGGAAATGGCCAAATTTTTGTAAAGGCTAAATAAAAAAAGATAAGAAGTGTTTTCACCTCTATTCGCGCCATTTCTTATCATGTTTTGTCGAGTAAAGTAGTCTCCACTCTCCGTTTATTAAAATTATTTATGTTTAAGGCTTTGGCTTTAAGATTTTCACCGTTTAAGGCATGCTGATATTCATTGCTACACTGTCTCTGGCCAATGCTCCACAGTGTACCTTTGCTGAACTTTAATAGTCTAGTGGTCGTTTGAATTTGTTTTTAATATGGTTTGTATTTTGAGAAATGTTTCAATAGTAAATATGTTTTTATTTCACTAAAATTATATTATCATTGATTTAGGATTCTCTCAATGAACCGACCTCAAATGAAACTTCTAACAATGAAGGTATTTTGAATACCCGTGGCCGGGGACGAGGATTTTTAATAAAAAGAATGAGTCAAAGACTCAGTTCTGAAAAATCTCTGAATTTATCATCACCGCCAACATTTCCCACAGAAAAGATGAAGAGCAATGTTGTACGACATAACCAAGACGTTGTTAACAAGTCTTGTTTTCAAGACTGTGTATATAATTATGATGCACCTGTGAGATCAACTTATATTCCACCCGAACCCAATGAAAATGACGAATCAATTTACGATGACGGAATCAGTTCTGGTATACATTTTGAAAAATTCAATGATATCGAAGTGAAGGTGAATGGAAAAAATATACCAGAAGCTATTGAAAGTTTTGAAGCATTGAACAATATACCAGAAAACTTAATGGACAATATAAAAAGATGTAATTTTTTGAAACCAACTCCCATACAAAAATATTCTATCCCGATTATTTTATCTGGTAAAGACTTAATGGCCACAGCACAAACTGGTTCAGGAAAAACGGTAATTAAATAATGAAAACATGAGTATTTATGTTTATCTAATTATTTATAGTAATAACAGAATTGTCTGCTGTGTTTTATTTTTATAGAACAATATACTATGCCGAATAAATTCTATACTAATCCATCGAGCCATAACTAAAGCATTTTGGTGATATGTTTTTACTGTTTATAGTTATTGTATAATACCTATTGTAGCTTATAAAATATTACGTAAACACGTAATATGTATAATATTATAAACTTATTAAAAACAAATGAACTAGGTACAGCAGAGTATTTTAAACTTGTTTGTCAAATTGCTTAGTTGAAATTTTAAAATATTGAAATCATTTTTGTAAAAACTAAAAATTTTCGACTAAAATAAAATAAAAATATATTATACAATTTATAAAAATATAAAAAAACAAGCTTCATCTCAAAGGTTTTTTCATGGTGAAAGACAGCTGTAGTTTGTTTCAATCTATCCCACCAAGGAATTAATTATATACCTTATATTTATCCATCCTTTGCAAATAGTAATATTATTTTATTATAATATTCATTTTTAGCAATTTATTCCCATAAAACTATTTCTTATAATAACATGGGCACATGCGGTCCCCCCTCCCCCCCCCCAATAAATAAATAAAAATAATGCCGCTTATTAATTATTATAAATTTATTTTAGGTTGCTTTTGTTTTACCAATCGTACAAAAATTACTCATGGACCCACAGATATTAGTAAAAGATAGTAATCATAGTGAACCTCAAGTTGTTATAATGGCACCTACAAGAGAATTGGCTGTTCAAATTAAAATGGTTGTATTGAAATTGACAAGAGGTACCGGAATTTCATCATTTGTCTGTTATGGTGGTACTTTAGTCAGTCATCAAAAAAATAAAATTCTCGTAAGTAGAATGTTCTTAAATAATAATTAGAATACTATATGTAGATATATAATGTCATGAGACGCTTTTAAAACTTTGACATCTTACACTCTAAGCTCATGATTGTAATAAAAAATGTGATTGGGCCATCTCTGTTTACACAGATTTTAAGTTGAGGTATGATATACGTTTACAGTTTTTATGTTTGTTCCTATTAGATCTTATTACATAATACCACGACAGTAAAGCCGTAAATATAAAACGTTAAATGATTATAAGAAAGTTTAACACAATTTATGGTTAGAAATACTTTTATTTCATTAAAACAAACATAATTATATGATATTCCTATATGATCTTTGTGATAACTATTTGTCTTTCCGTGTACTATTCTCACACATACTCCTGTCAAACTATATGACAGCGGCAGGACTCTCCTTGCATGGCAGTAGTGTTTATATAACAAAGTATAATGTTCCCTCAGCACAATTTGCTTCTTGGGCCCCACATATGTTGTATGTGACTTACATTTCAAATATAATATATTATAATGTTAATTGCCGTCTATAGTGTATGACAATATGTATTGAATAATTGTGCATGTTATGTAATAATAAAAAACCTAACCAATATTTTGTATATTAGGAAGGTTGTCACATACTTGTAGCTACACCTGGTAGATTAAATGAATTTGTTCAGCATGGCTTCATAACATTTTCGTCCGTAAGATTTTTTGTCTTAGATGAAGTTGATAAGATGTTAGACATTGACTCAAAACCAGATATCGATAAAATCTTAGATCATTTCACAATGCCGTCTGTTGTAAGTTTTCATCAATAAATAAATGTAGAGTAAATGCTTGTAAAGTATTGAATGTCTAGTGTTTATAATTTCCAGATGAACAGACAGACAATTATGTTGTCAGCAACATTACCAGACTCCACTCAGCATTTAGCAAAATTGTATTTAAACAAAAATTATTTATTTTTAGCAGTTGGTATTGTTAGTAGCGCTTCAAAAGATATAAAACAAACCTTTCACATGGTTAATAGATTCAATAAACGTGACATTTTATCCAATATTTTAAGAAAAGGTTTACATTTTATTTAATTGAGTAAAATATCTATAGTTTATTCATGTTATAAGAAGGAACTTCAATGGCATCTACAGACTAAGATATAATATATATGTATTATAGTCCTTGGTAACAATTAACAAATAATTGTTGTCTAGCTATGATCTGTCTGTAATTCTGACCAAGTCATTAATGTGTATGCTTGTCGTGTAGTCAAGTCGTACACATCCATGTGCACAAGTTGGCCACCAGGTTCTTCTAAAATGAATGAATTATAATTTACAAGTTAAAATAAAATAAACATTTGATTAATTGTTATTTTTAAGATTCAGTAGGAACTATAGTATTTGTGAAACAGAAGTGGACAGCAGATTTTCTTGCCACATACTTATGTGAAAAGCATATTCCATCAACAAGCATACATGGTGATCGTTTACAAGATCAGAGAGAAATTGCTTTAAATGATTTTCGTAATAGAAAGATGAATGTAATTGTAGCAACAAATGTAGCTTCAAGAGGATTAGGTAAATTTATTCAACTTTTATAAGTTCAATTTGACAGAAAATTCTGTGATGAATGGTTTTTATAATTAAATAATTGTATTAATTGTATAATTATTTTTAAATTGAATGGACAACAGTCCTTTCCAGTTGACTATTTAAATAAAATAGAATCTATAACAATATTATTTATCAATAGTCGTGTGTAAGCAATAATTTTAACATTTGTATTACTTCATTTATATTTGTTGATAAGTATTAACTCTTGGATCTTTAGATATTAAATGTGTGAACCAGGTCATTAATTATGACATGCCTCAAGAAATTGAAGAATATGTGCAAAGAATTGGACGAACAGGCAGACTAGGAAACCAAGGGGTTGCTATATCTTTCTTTGATCCTGATGAAGATTATCTTTTGATAGATCCAATTATAAAAACTCTTGCATCAGTAATGAATATTATACTTTTATTTATTTTAATCTAATTCATATTTATACATTTTTAAATCGTTTGATTTAGGCAAATCAAGAAATACCTAAATGGATACTTAAACTTGGACGAGAAGCCAAATATAATGATGCTAATGATGATTTTGATAAATTTGGAGGCTCAGATATAAGAATTGTAAATAACATTTATATCGTATATTCATTATTGTTTTCTATATGTAATGGAACCTTTGGAACAACAGGATATGGAAATGTTATGTTTATAGCTCAACATTGTATATTATTAATGTATGTCGGGGATCATATTTTTAATCCTGTAACTATAGATATCGTTACAATGATAAAAATATTAATTTTTTTGTTAATAAATAGTTTCTCATTTATTTATTACAATTTTCATCATTGTTTGCTGCATTTAAGTGAAAGTATACAGAAACAATCAAGTAAAATTCAATGTATTTATCAGATTATGTGCTTTTGATACATTGTTTTTCTTGTTTATTACTGAGTGTCTATTTTCTATTTATGTGTTAAAAAATTATTTCATTTTCTATTATATTCTGAGGCACAACTAAATGGGGTAGTATCTATTGTACAACAACGTACAGTAGCGTGCACATGGGTGAATAATATATATATCCTTCCGACTTTTTGGAATATTTTTGTCATATTAAATATACGATGTAGCAATAAAAGTTAATTTTCCACTATATGACGTGGTCTGAGAAATCAAGAAATAGTTTTCAATTCATAAATTTGATAAATATATTTGAATAGTAATAAAGTATTTTACTTGTATTGTTTTAAAATGTAATATCTATTGGTGTAATTCCAAACTAACTTATCATTTAATATGTTTTGGAATTGTTATCTTCTTTCAAAAATAATAAATTATCAATTTAAGCATATTTAATATAAATAAATGTAAATAATTATTATTTATAAAATTGTATTAATTTGTGTTTACAGATATCAGGCTCAGTTGACGACTGTGAAGAATGGTAAATTTATGCAAATATTTGATAATTATTGTTTTTTTTTCATATTTTTAATAATAAATCAATATAATGAAATGTTATATCTTATTCAATTCCTAATCCAACAAGAATTACTTAATTATCTATAGAGTTGCAATTTTTACCTTCTTGATTTGCAATCAAATAAGTATGGTAATTAGAATAAAAAAATCTGAATTATGAAAACTTCAAGAGTTAGTAGTTAATTTGAAAATAATTAAAACCAGTAAAATCCTTTTAAAACTATTAGGAAATTGACCTTAAAAATCTCGGCCAACGCGCCACTGCTTTCTATTTAGCTTTAAATCTAGGTCAAAATATTAAATTTTAAAAATTTAGAAAAATAATTTTATAAATAAACAAACATTTTGCAAATAATATAAAATACAATTTAAGATTTTGTAAAATAATTCAATCACATGGACTAGTAGATAACACTATATTTTCTAATAAAAATCAGCTGAAATATTTTTAAAATTAAATTAGCTCAAGTATTTAACTACAAAATTGCAAGCAGAGAAAACATTTTTTTAGAAAATAAAAACATAATTTTGTGAGTTAATTTTGTTCGTTTGGTAAACATTAAGTGAACTAGAAGCTTTTACTTCATATCATTAAAAAAGGATATTCTATACGAAATAGATAATGATGAAATCATTATTTGAATACTCAAATTAAAAAGCACAGTATAATATATGATAAATCAGTAAGTGGACCAGTACTATTGTATTCTCCAAGGCCGAAATCTCCCCTAAGCCGCCCATGATTTGAGCTTTTAATTTTTGTTGAAATCTATAATAATAAAAAAAATACCAATGTTTAATAATAATATTATATTATTTGACTATAACGACTAATATGAATAAACTAATATTTATTCCGGACGATACCAAAACTACAAAACAATTGTAGCTATTGGCAGTTTATATGGTGTTTGAAATATATATTATTCGTTTCTGCAGCTGTGTGTGGCTGTGTCGTAGTATCAATTCAGTAGGCTGTTATCTGCTATTATAACGAACACTATAATATATAGGTACGCATAGTTTATGTATATTATTCTAAAACTTTTTTTTTTTATAGCTTTTATTTAAAAATCTAGCTCAACAATTATAATGCATTAAAATATTAACAAAGCAATATAAAAACAAATAGAATAATAAAAAAAAATAATAGTAACAGTAAGATAAAAGTTATAACGTACCTACTTTTTTCATAATATATTATACTGAAGTCGTCATTATTCGTTGCTAATATCGTAAAACTGCAGCTGCAGTTATCGTCCGAAATCGAGATCCGGTCACCGCCCGCGGCCGACTTTGTGCACCAGGTTTTTACCCACGAGCTGCAGACTGCAAATATCTCAACCAAAATATCGAGTTGACAACACGCTAGTGTAAAATTAATTTATGCGATTTGTGAAATTTAAGACCATATAAATTGCACGGATATACTTTTGGTTTATTTTTAACCTGTGCAAAAATCTCAAGAGGAATACCTTCGAAAATAAAATTGTACGTCTTAAAATCGCATAAATGAAATATTCTCAAAAACGTCGGTGTTTTCTGAAATAATTTTGGTGTCTCACGTTAAATGGATCACCCCGTATACACCCTTTAAGCGTTTTAGAAATGTTATCTCTTTGACGAAAGCACATCGTAATAATACAGAACGATATATAACTGTGGTGGGAAGGTCGTCCAATCGTCCCACACATAATATTTTACGTCAACCTCACTTGAAAATTCAAAACCTATTTATTATTTTATAAAGGTAGGCAGAAAAATATTTAAATGTACATATAATTTCTAAACGCGAGTGAATATAAACACAAATATAATATCATATCATCGGAGAATGAAAAGCGCTGTGTTACTAAAAATCATTCTAATATATCAACCACTTCATTACCATCGTCGAGTACCTTATTGACTCTCTCGAAGAGTTAAAAATATGCAATTAGGGAGGTATTAATGTATTATGGACTGTATCAAACACTGCAGTAATGTACCTATTTTGCCTATACAATACGCCGAGCAACACCTAGCCTACTTATGCATAAACCAAAAATTTAATTCAAACGACTATCTGATTAACCTTTGCTCTTTTAGAGGACGTGTCAAACCAGAAAAAAAATACCATGAAACTACACTTTCATAATTCCAATAATATGGCTTACTGAAGGGTTTCACATTAAAAACACCATCATGAAAATTGTAGAAGAAAATGTTTACTAGTAACGTAAGAAGTCCGGTTTTTATATTTTTATCAAATAGTCAAATAATTGGAACGACGAAAAGTTTAAAAAAAAACATAAAGTTCATTGAAAAACATTCGACAATCGAAGTAAGATAAGTTGAAAGATAAGAAAAATTGGGCTTCTTATGACTGTAGATAAAATTCTCCTCTACACTTTTCCAACAGGTTTTTTTTCATGTAAACCCTTCAATAAACCGAATTGTTGGAATTACAAAAGTGTGATTATCGGTAAGACAAATGTTAAATTACATTAGATGTGACTATTGGATCAGCCTTTGAATAGAGCGGAAGTAACCACGGTCACCACATACCAACTAGCAGTAGTGGATTTGATAAGTCTTCTAGAGAGAGAGGAAATATTCTTTTAGTACAAAATTTATATTTGAACTCTTTACCTACTAAGGTCTATACTCTATATATATATACACACAGGGTGTCCCGTGAGGATTTACTCATTCCGATATCTAATATTGACGTTTCAATATTTTAATTTTATTAATCTCCTGATTTTTAATCAATTTTTAGTTAATAGGGAAAACACTAAGAACTAAAAAAGTAAAAAACCGGTTTTTGTACCGGCGGGGAGTTCCCCTCTACGGCTAATGGGTATATCCCTCACGGGACACCCTGTATAGGGAAAACATGTATCCAATACTAAAACGATCATTGACCGCTTACAGTAATCGCTCAACTCTAGGCCGCGATTATAACTTATAAACACTCTGGACTTCTATATACAGATTTCTGAAAGAATTTATTATTTATAGGTAGTTTATAATGTCTAGGGAGGAGGGCATGAGCCCTATGACCCACCCTAAACGCCTCTCCTACCAGCTAGTACAAATCAGACATAATATTATGCAATTTAAAATGTATTAATAAGTAATTTTTGTACCTACACACCGTTCAGGGAGAGAACACCCCGACTTTGAGCCTTCTCTAACGACCTCTTGCCATCGAGAGCAGAGACCAGTTCCATTATGGTAGGGTGTTTCAAGGGGAGGCGGAGGACAAGCGATTTTCGTCGGGTCGTGTTCTGTCGCCGGGCAGAGTACACAGTAGCCCCTAACTTAGATGGATTTATATATTGGTCAAAATTAAATAATATTTTTTATAAAGTTATTATTCAGCAATGAGTTTACTTAGTATTAACAAAAACATTGAATTTCAGGGAATCGCATCAAAGATTTTAAAACACGATTATAAATGCCAACACTTGCCACTTGGCAGTAGATTGGTGGAAAAGTAACGAATATCGGGAAATATTCTAACAGCATAATCATTTTTCTGATCTCCACATTTAAAATTTTGGACACTTCCTTTTGTAGAAGTTATTATGTCTCCAATGGAACAACCTAAGGTTTATAAATAGTCAATAATTTTCTCTTGTTTTTCCCCACCATTAATATGATAATATTAACACAAATTAAACTACCCATTTACTTAGTTGTTTGTCAGACAGATTCTATTAATGGGAATCTGGAGTATCCTCTATGCTTTTGTTTACATCAGTTAAACGAACACAAGACTGAAGAGTGGAAGACTGCTGATTGCATTTACTTTTCATCCTATAGATCATTTTGCTATAAGAGTAAGAGGGACAATTTAGGAGTTAATATTCATATGAAAGGTCAATAAAATATAAACATTTTGATTAACACACACCACTTCAATACAACAAGTTTGTAGTTTGGATCAGATTACGAGTATAACATAACATTTTAAAGGCAGAGCTCAAAAAAGTATATTAAACAGTGTAGGATAGAAAATGTCTAGACTTTGTAGTTTTAAGAAGATTATATGATCAATCTCAAACTATAATAATAGACAAGTTGTTTAAGAAATGTACACATAATGTGACGAGAGTTATATTCATTTTTCCCCACATAATTCTGCACAATTTAAATTCTATTTTAAGAAAATGTAAGATATTTAGTATAAATTGGAAAAAATAATATAAATACAAAGCTTATTGCATTAATAACAATTTGATGGTCAATCATTTCCAATTTGTAATTCTTTCCATCGTGTTTCAAGGTCCAAGAATTTTTGTTGTAGAATTTTTTCTCGTTCTTTTTGACGGTCAACATCGTCAGTTAATGACTGAAATATAGTTCATCATTAAAAAAAAATTTGATTAATATTTTTGAAGTGATTATTATGAAATTGTTGTTTAACATGTTTTTCTAAATTACATAATAAACAGTTAATATTTAACAGCAAATATAGAAGAACTACAAAAAATATAAAAATGGTATATTTAAAATCACCTGTAATCGTTTAGGTATGGCAGATTCTTCCTGTCGTTGTAAAAACAGGAAAGTTGATAATTCTAAATGCCCTTGTTCAATCTCATCTACGCTGGTTATGAACTGTTTGATGAGACCTTGAGAACGAGTCTAAATAAACAAAATTGTTGTGTTAAAACGTAAGACTTGGAATAATAATATTTTTAACATCAGTATCATGTATTAAAATTACATACTTGATATCCCCCGAGAATAATTTTAATTTTCTTTTCCATTTTTCCAGCTTTTTTAGCTTCTTTAGTCATATGACCTCTATTCTGTTCCAGTTTCTTTTCTAGTGATTCAATCCTATCTTTTTTACTAGCTAAATTTGCTCTTGTATAACGATTTTGATTAGGCAGGAATAATACTTGTCCCAAACACTCTCCCCACACTTGAGTAAACGAGTCTAATGACAATTCACCATGATTCATACCTTGTTTGACAATTTCCATTTCTTTTATCAAAACTTGTTTTGCCTTAAAAAATATTACATAACGGTAAATAAATAATGT